TCAACCGAATGAGCCACCTGGCCAGAGCTGCACATTAAGGTTTGATGAGCATTCATGAGTTCCGAGGATAAAAGATGAAGTTTAGGCTTCAAGATACAAATTAAAGCCATGGTTTTGGAGGAGACCATCTAGGCTAAAGGAGGAAGTATTCATAAGGAAAGGAGACTACATCTAGGGTAATCTCTGAAGCACACCAACACGAATGGCTCAATAGAGGATGTGGCAGCTGAGACCTAAAAAGAGTGGGATGGGAATGAAACCAGGTGTGCTTGGCATCCTGGAAGCCAAACAGGGAGAGGGTTTCAAAAGGGGAGTGTTTATGTTGAATGCTTCTGATATGTTGAGTAAGATGAGGAAAAAGTTTGTCTTGGAGGTTTTTGAAAATCTTTAGAAAAGCAATTCCAGGGTAGTTTGCAGAGTCAGTTTGGAGGTGATAAAAACAAGCAGAGACAGTTCATTCAAGAGGTTTTACTGTGGAAGAAATTTGGCAGTAGCTGGTGCTACATCAGAGAGCTTTGTTTTGTTTGTAAGATAAATTTGTATGCTGATGGAAAAAATCCAGTAGACAGGGAGAAACAGATGATTCAATTTCAAAGGGGATAATTGAATGAATGAAATGTTTAAGAAAATGAGAGATGGGTGAGACCGGTTTGGCTCAGTGGATAGAGCGTTGGCCTGCGAAATGGCCAGGTTCGATTCTGGTCAAGGGCTGGGTTGTGGGCACATCCCTGGTAGGGGATGTGCAGGAGGCAGCTGATCGATGTTTCTAGCTCTTTATTCCGCTCCCTCTGTAAGAAATCAATAAAGTATATTTTAAAGAAAATGAGAGATGGGATTCATACTACAACAGAGGAATTTGCCTTTGAAAGAAGCAATAATACATCTACCCTTGTAATAGGAAGGAAAGCAGAAGGATGGACTCAGTTTTTGCAAAGAGGTAGGAACCATTAGGGAAGAGTGATTTGGAAGAGGGACTTGAACTGTAAAAGGTTGGAGAGGAAGAGAAGAAATAAGGTATAAAATAGTTGTGTGGTTTTTTTGTTTGTTTGTTTTAGCTCTTTAGAGAAGCATAACACAATGTCTGGGTAGGGAAGGGTACCCTTTAGAAGTTGGTGACCAGAATTTAAAGTGAAAATAACTAGCTAAATTGAGTGATTTTCTTCATAATGTTCCTGGCTTTGTAACAGAATTAGTGTAGTAATCCTTTGGGCTTCTCTCAGAACTTCCTTTCGCTCTAGGGTAGATTTGGTGCGGCATACCACGAGGTGGACTGCCGTGGGGAAGGGCCCACGGATTGAATTTAATTTTTGTTAAATCTCCCTCTCACAGGAGATTTCCTTCCACATCAGCCCCTAAACGCCCTTCAGCGGTCTCAAGTACCCTCAGCAGTTGCAAGTCACACCTCCAGCCGCCAGGGTCCGCTGTGGCGCTCCTCGCGGCCGGAAGGGAGTGCGCCCCAGCGCGGCCTCGGCGGTTCCGCTGTGCGTTCGCAGCGTCCCGCGCGCTCTTTACGTCGGCGGCGGCCTGGGAGTAGGCGTTTCCGGCCATTCATACTCCGGTGCGGTGGCCCACGGTTGTCGGGTGTTGTGCACGGTTGTCGGGTGTTGTGCACTCTCGGACAGAAATCTTCGTGAGGATGAAGCTCGTGAGGTGAGGAGGTGACCAGGCCGGGTGGGGGCCGTGGAGGAACGGTTTGGGCCGGAAACGGGAGGCCGGGCGGCCCCACTTGCCGGAGGCGCAAGAGGCGCGAAAGCCGCGTGCGCGGCCTGCTAACGGCCTCCGGCGCCCGCCGCTCCCGCCCAATCTAGGCCGCGCCGCCGCCGCCGGCGCTGAGGCCTGGCACTTCGGGCTGGGTTGCTCGGGGATCCCTGTTGTCTTCCTAGAGGTGGACGTAGGACCGAGCCTTTTCTTCCCAGCCAGGGTCTGAGGCCTGAATGGAGCAGCTTCAGGCTTTCGGTTACTTGCCGAGTGTCTAGCCTAGATCGCTCTGGAGCGCTCCTCGGCCCTCAGGAATCGGCGCACTCCCTGAGAACGTGGAAGATATAAAAATTGCATGTCCTGCACAAATGGTTTAAATTAAAAAGAGTGCTGAAAACCTGCGGGGGTTTTACCTGGGAAATAATGAAGCCAGTTTTCGAAATGTTTTAACTCAGGATGGGCTTCTGGCTTGTTTGTTTAGTTTTTTATGCTCTCTGGATTTAAGATTATTCAACTTAAAAGTGGAATTTTTTCCCCTTTAAAGTAGAGTAGGCCTTTACAGAATCACTTTACGTATTTGTGACTGACTACACGATAATCACTGTCTCTTCCGTTTAATTTCTTAAACTTGTTTGGTTTAACCTACTGAATACTTGAGTAACTGATTTTACACTATCTGCAAATAGATTTGCTGCTGGTGTTTTTTTTCTTGAAGCTGAGAAGCTCGAGGTTTCTAATAACTAAGCTGGGGGTTAAAATATTTAGCTAGTATATTGCCTATTGAGTTAAGAACTGTTATGGGGCACCTGTTAAATTGTGCACTGGTAATGGATGGATGGATGGATAGATAGGAAAGAGAGAGAGAGAGAAATAGTTCCATTTATTTGCAAATTCATTGCTTGGTTTTTGTATGTGCCCTGACTGGGGATGGAACCCGAATCTTTGGCATCTGGGCTAACCAACTGCACTTCCCGGCCAGCGCTTGGATTTCCTTTTCTTTTTTAAGGTCAAGTCCTTCCTCTGTTGGATTTTTCTGTTTTGTAGGGAAGGCAGACTAGTAGATAATTTTTAGTGTGATTGAAATGACCTTTCACACTCCTCATGGTGGAGTTTGTAGAGAAAGCATTTAAGGTTAACTTTTAGTCCATTATTTGAGCTATAGCTTTGGATGAAAAGGTCTCAGAGCCCTAGTGGATTTGGCTCAGTGGATAGAGCATCGGCCCATGTACTGAAGGGTCCCAGTTCGATTGGGTCAAGGGCATGTTGCTCTCCCTGGTCTGGGAGGCAACCAATCATTGTGTCTGTATCACGTCAGTGTTTCTCTGTGTCTCTCCCCCTCCCACTCTAAAAAAAAAAAAATCAGTGGGAAAATATCTTTGGGTGGAGATTACCAACCCCCCCAAAAAGATCTCAGGACTTAAAAGTACATTTTTGTTTGCAAGATTTTTAATATTTCCTACAACTTTTGTTTAGGTAATATTTTTAAAATTTTCTTGAAATATTAATGTTTATTGCATATAGTAATATTTAAAATCACTTCCCTTGAAAAAATGTTTAAAAAGCTATTTTTAATTAGAAAAAAGTATATTTTTGCATTATTTAAGTTTTATGCAATACTCTTTGAAATTAGTTTGTCTCATTTAAAGATTTCCGTGTTGTGACAATTTTTTGAAATAAATTTTAATGACTGTATTCAATCCTATTCTGTATCTTAGAATATAGGGGAAAAAATTATCCCAGACCAAGTAATTTAATTTCCCCTTTTTTGAAGGTCTACCACTAAAAATGGTACTTTTAAGGGTGGCTTCCTTTTAATTATTGAAACATTCACCCAACTGTTATTCAGTGCCTATGACAATCAGGGTTAGATTAAATATCATAAGTCATACCCCTCAACAGCAATTTAGTAGGGGAGAAAAAAGGTAATCCTACATGTATAAGAAATTGTGAATGAACTTTATATTAAATTTGTATTGTGGGATTATTGTTCATTTTTCTAGATGTGATTATGTGGGATAATATTCTCATTAGAAAATGCATGTTGAAGTGCCTATGATTTATTTTCAGGGGACTTGGTGAAAGTATTAAGTTTTGTATGAGGGAGACATACAAATGGCAACATTGCAATAATTTGTCAACCCTTCAACTTTTCTTCCTCTGCAATATTTCATAATAAAAGTTGGGGGAGAACAAAAAAACTAGATGAAGCGTACTAAATACAGAATTGGATGAAAATAAGAGCCAGTTTTGGGATGGAAAACATTTTCCTAAACAAATTACATACCTAGGAAGTATTCGCAAATTTAGCAATATAAAATGGGGGGTTGGAGGGGGGAGTATTGTATGACTAAAGAAAACCACAAACTTGAATGGCTGTGGCAAACTGGTAGGAAAAATAATTTAACCTAATTGAAAGTGTGTAAATAATGTGAATAGATAATTCAAAAAATATATATAAATTTCCCATATTTATGAAAAGACATTCAGCCTCACAAGTAATAGAAGAAAGCAGAGTGCCTTTTTTTCCTCAATCAGATTCAAACACACACACACACACAAATTTAAAAAATTTGGTGACAGTGTTTGTGAGGATTTGTATTAATGGATTTGTGATAGCTGTGTGTGTGTGTGTGTGTGTGTGTGTGTGTGTGTGAGAGAGAGAGAGAGAGAGAGAGACAGAGAGAGACAGAGAGAGATCCATGAAGTCCGAAAGATCAGCAACCTCTAAGCAACTTTAAATATATATTTGTGGTTTTATTTGACCCAAACTGTCAAGGGAAGCAAAATATGTATTGATATAATGCTTCAGAGAATGGCAGTTTTGCTCCTTATTTTATACATTTCTAATGGCCTGGTGCACGAATTAGTGCGCATTGAAAGAAAAGTAATTAGAAGAAATAATTTTTAAAAATATATTTTATTGATTTTTTTTACAGAGAGGAAGAGAGATGGATAGAGGGTTAGAAAAATCAATCAGCTGCCTCCTGCACAACCCCTACTGGGGATGTGCCCAAAACCAGGTACATGCCCTTGATCAGAATCAAACCTGGCACCTTTCATTCCGCAGGCCGAGGCTCCATCTACTGAGCTAAACCGGTTTCGACTATACACCGTTTCTCTATGATGGAAGTGTCAACCAAATTCACAATCAATAATAGATCAAAACACATACGTGCAATTGGTGCCAGCAAGAGCTTTATATATATGGTGCATGTGCAAGTCAGCTTAGTCTTTTATATGTATATATGGAATAAACTTGCATAATTAGACCTGCTTTCTGATTTAGCTAAACTTTTTTTTTTTTTAATATGGAACACTTCCTGAATTTGCATGTCATCCTTGCGCAGGGCCCATGCTAATCTCTGTATCGTTCCAATTTTAGTATCTGTGCTGCTGAAGCAAGCACTAGCTAAACTTGTTCCAGCCCAGTAAAGCACCCTAACTTCTCTTAGGTAATTGTCAGCAACACAGCAGTAAATATCAACACAAAGCAGATTATTGTAGATCACACAGGGAGAACAAAGGGTAAAATATTTAACTGCAGCAGTGTCTGACTATATTCAGAAAACCTGAAGTCATTTTCAGGGTCCACCATTCTTTTCAGTTGGGTCAAGTTTCTAAACTTACTAAATCTCCTTTTTCCTGGCTAATGAAAAGAGAATAGGATTCCACCAAGTCTCCTCTCTACCTACTCCAGGACTTCTGTGAGGATCAAATGAGATGAGGCATGGGAAAATGTTTCCATAGACATTTGGTTCAAGTGTAAATGTTGCCCTAGCCCAGTGGTCCTTCGCCACTCTGTTGACTAATGAATTTGCTGACCACTGATTCCAATAATTACAGGCTGTTGTTCCTTGTGATTAAGTCCCTATCCCAGTGGTTGGCAAACTCATTAGTGAACAGAGCAGCAAACGGCAGCTAACAAGTTGCATATGGCTCAAAAGCTGCAGTTTGCCGACCACTGCCCTAGTCAGTTTGGCTCAGTGGGTAGAGTGTCAGCCTAAGGACTGAAGGGTTATGGGTTCAATTCGGTCCAGGGCACAAATATTCATGCAAGAATGGGTTTTCCCTACCCTGGCTGTTGGCACCACCTTTGCTGTGGCCAGAGCTGTCTTTTTGCTGTGGCCTGGATCTGCCTTTCCACCTTCTCTTGCTGCCCAGAGGCCTGGAGTAGCGGGGGTGGTGTCCGCATATGCAAATTAACCTGTCATCTTTGTTGGGTTAATTTGCATACTTGCTCCTGATTGGCTGGTTGGCATAGTGAAAGTATGGTCAATTTCCATCTTACTCTTTTATTAGTGTAGATATAAGTCACTATGATGCTCACAGACCACTAGGGGCAGATGTTCAATGCAGAAGCTGCCCTCTGGTGGTCAGTACACTTGCTCAGACAGAAGCTGGGCTCATAGCTGGCAAGCGCAGCTGCAGAGGTGGGAGCCTCTCCTGCCTCCAGGATAGTGCTACTGAGTGGTGGCAGGCTCAGCAGGACTGGGATGAGTGGCAGTGGAGCTGCGCCTGGCCCTGGCTGGGGCTCCTCCTAGGCTGCCTGCCACTTCTCTGCTACACGCCCCCCCCCCCCCCCCAAGCGATTCAGGATTGTGAGAGGGTGCAAGCCAGGCAGGCTGAGGGACCCTACCCATGCACAATTATATGCACTGGGCCTCTAGTACAGTAGTTGGCAAACTCATTAGTCAAAAGAGTGGTGAGCCACCCCTTGTGAGCCACCGTTTGCCTACCAGTGCTCTAGTATATATAATCAAAAGAGGGTATAAGTGGTTACATTAAATTCATTGGTGACAGATTAGGGAGGCAGGAGAAAAATGCAGTGAAACCTCTGGAATTGGATAAAAACTAAAATGAAACATCTTTTACATAGGTGGGTACATGGTAATTAATAGTCCAGAATTAACATCAATAACAATTAGAGGATTTATAGTCTCTGCTCTGATGTATTGCTTATGCCCTGAGGGGTCCAAAAAAGGGAAATTATCCTGACATTCCAAATCTATGTTAGATGCAAAAGTCTAAACAACTTTCAAATATGCCATACAGCAATAATAATTATAATCAGCATGTTGTACATCTTACCTGAAATATTTATGTATCTTATAATGAAATACGTACTTTTTGACCACTTTCATCCATATAATTTCTTGATTTCAATTTTGTGGCTTATAATGACTTTAAGATCTGTATGCACAGATGATGCTTTACAATGGTTTAGAAAATCAGAAGTGTCCAAATGACTGTGTTCTTACTATGCTCCTTCATAAATGTTAAGATTTTAATTCAGGGAAACCTGAAATTGTTATGGAGATTATTAATAGGAATTGATGCAGATACCATCTAAGCAGATTTTCAACAATTAGAAATTTCACCGTTTTGACTTAAGGTGAAAATTTATCATTTTATTCCTGCTGTCTTTATAGATTTTTGATGAAATTGAGTCACGAAACTGTAACCATCGAATTAAAGAATGGAACACAGGTCCATGGAACAATCACAGGTATGGAAGTTAGACTGTTTTATAAAGCCCTTCTATCTACAGACCAGAATTATTTATTTATTTATTTATTTATTTGTTGTTGTTGCTTAATGAACATTCTTATAGTAGGGATCTCATTCTTTTTGTCTGACTTCTTTCACTGGCCTTCTTACTTTAGCCTTTCCTTAATTACTTGTGCTAAGACTGAACTGTGTTCCTCAAGATGTCTTATATGTGACCCCTGTTATCCTACTTTTATGCCTTTCATGTTTTTATCTGTATGTGTGTCCTTTTGCCTGCAATGTTGCATCTCCCAAAATATATTTTATTTTATTAGATGCCCAGTGCATGAAGTTTGTGCACAGAGAGGGTGTGTGTATCTATCTCTCAGTCCAGCCTGCACCCTCTCCAATCTGGGACACCTCAAGGGATGTTTGACTGCCCATTTAGGCCTGATCCCACCAGGCAATCGGACATCACTCACATTCCAGGACTGCTGGCTCCCAACTGCTCGCCTGTCTGATTGCCCCTAATTGCTTTTGATCACCCCCTAACCACTTCCCTGCCATCCTGATCAATGCCTAACAGCTTCCCTGCTGGCCCTATTGCCCCCAACTGTCCTCCCCTGCAGGCCTGGTCACCCCCTACTGCCCTCCTCTGTTGAACCCAGTCACCCCTAAGTGCTCTCCCCTGCTGGCCATCTTGTGTCCACATGAGGGCGGCCATCTTGTGTGTTGGAGTGATGCTTAATTTGCATATTACTTTTTCTTTTTTTAATATAGGATTAGAATTTTGTACTTCCTGTTACATTGTAAATACTTTGAAGATAGAAGATGGGTTTTCATGTCTTACTATCTTGGGTAAAAATATATGTGGGAGATTGAGGAGACAGTAAGGAACTAAATTTTAATTACTATTTTTTTAAAACATATTTTACTGATTTTTTACAGAGAGGAAGGGAGAGGGAATAGAAAGTTAGATACATTAATGAGAGAGAAACATCAGCCAGCTGTCTCCTGCACAACCACTTGGGATGTGCCCACAACCAATGTACATGCCCTTGACCGTAATCGAACCTGGGACCCTTCAGTCCTCAGGCCTACACTCCATCCACTGAGCCAAACCAAGTTTCGGCTTAATTACTTTTTTGTTATTTGTTTAACTCTTTGCTGTAATGATGTTATATGTTTAGGTTTATATTTGAAGGCCGCTGTGATTTTTTTTCATTCATAGTAGGCCCCTTTCCAAAGTTGCAAAGTTTCAAAAGAATTGATGAGCCAAAGAAAGAAAATGCTATCTTGGCATGTGGTCCCACTCTCTTAAATGTTTGTTACAAATTTATAAATAATTTTTTAACATTATTTATAGATCAAGCATCTGAGTAAACCAAGAGAAATATACATTATTAAACTGATATTATTTGTGTATATAGTAGAACTTTGTAATAACAATTGCTATGAAGAAATCAGTAATACAGTGTAAGATTGTGATATAGACTGACCATATCTGAGGAAGTATAATTGCTATTATGTTAAAATTCTATAAACAGTGATTAGTCTGCCTTCTCCTAAGGTCTGTTCTTTTTAGAATTTCAAAATCTAGTGATGGGCCTGGCCAGCATGGCTCAGTGGTTGAGTGTTGGCCTATAAACCAGGTGGTCACAGTTCAGTTCCCAGTCAGGACACATTGCCTGAGTTGCGGGCTCGATCCTAAGTATGGCATGTGTAGAAAGCAGCCGAGCAGTGAATCTCTTCATTGACATTTCTGTCTCTCCCTCTCTGAAATCAGTAATGTGTGTGTGTTTTAAAATTCTGATGGAAGGCACACACACACAAATAATGTAATGCAAGGTTTGCCTAACATAGTAGACATTAAGTGATGGGGTGGGTAAAATAAGTTGGGGGAGCAAAATCTAGTTAAAAAAAAATCTAATTCCCTCCTTCATTGACAAATACCATTACAAGTTTCTTTTTTCTTTTTTTTTTTTTTTTTAATATATTTTATTGATTTTGTACAGAGAGGAAGGGAGAGAGAGAGCTAGAAACATCGATGGGAGAGAGTCATTGATCAGCTGCCTCTTGCACACCCCCCACTGGGGATATGCCCGCAACCAAGGCACATGCCCTTGACCAGAATCGAACCCGGGACCCTTTAGTCCCCAAGCCGACACTCTATCCATTGAGCCAAACCTGTCCCAGCTACAAGTTTCTTGTATCCTTTATAGGTATATCTTTTAGTCATCATAGTAGGGATAATCTACCTGTAGGAAGTTTGAAGATTAAATTAAAAAGTCTTATCGTGCAGTTCCTGAAATATAGAAAGAGCTTATAAATCTTTTTTTTTTTCTCTTTTTTTTTTTTCTTTTCCCTTCCATTGATGGATTAAGGTCCCCCGCAAAAATGGAATGTATCCAAAGTATAATTTTGGGAAAGCAGAGAACCTCTTTGACTGGAAAGAGGGAGAAAAATATTAGTAATAAGACTTAATAAATTTGAGATGGATATTGAGACAGTTGAGAGAATTCATGTATTTTGGCCTTAACTTTCTAGGGATATAAATTAACTAGATCTTTAGTTATCCTGTATATTCAGGTGTATTAGTAAGTGCTCCAAGAATTGAGTATTGCCGAAACCGGTTTGGCTCAGTGGTAGAGCGTCGGTCGGCGGACTGAAAGGTCCCGGGTTCTATTCTGGTCAAGGGTATGTACCTTGGTTGCGGGCACAACCCCGGCAGGGGGTGTGCAAGAGGCAGCTGGTCGATGTTTCTCTCTCATCGACGTTTCTAGCTCTCTATCTCTCTCCCTTCCTCTCTGTAAAAAATCAATAAAATATTAAAAAAACAAACAAAAAAACTGAACACTAAAAATTAAAAAAAAAAAGAATTGAGTATTTCTGTTGTCATGCCATATAATCCTAGAAAAA